CATTCTAATATGCTGATTTATTATCAGTGTTGAAACTGTTGTGCTGCTTAATATTTTTTTGGAACCTGTGATACTTTTTTTCAGGATTCTTTGATGAATAAAATGTTAAAAAGAAGAGCATTTATTTAAAATATAAATATTTTCTAACAATATACACTACCGTTCAAAAGTTTGGGGTCAGTCAATTTTTATTCTTTCTTTTTTTTTGAATGAAATTAAAACTTTTATTCAGCAAGGATGTTTTAAATTGATAAGAAGTGATAGCAAAGATTTATATTGTTAGAAAAGATTTATATTTTGAATAAATGCTGTTCTTTTTAACTTTTTATTCATCAAAGAATCCTGAAAAAGTATCGCAGTTTCCCAAAAAAATATTTTAAATGATATTTTAAAGGATATTAAAATATAAACCATTATTTTATATTTTAATAACATTTTGCAAGATTACCGTTTTTGTTTCTGTATTTTTGATCAAATAAATGCAACCTTGATGAGCTTAAGAGACTTCTTTAAAAAATATTACAAGTCTTATTGATCCCAAACTTTTGAGCGGTAGTGTAAACATAAATTGGGTGTCAATGTTTTTATCGTTCATCAGCTGGAAAAATCGTTCTGAAAGTGATTCCAATGAAATCATTTCGCTGTGCCTTTATCATTATAGTTGTGGTGTGGTGTGCTATTCTTTAATATTGAGAACGATTTTTAGAGCTATATATTTATAGTTATTGTCCTTGGTGTGAACAGGCCTTTATTCTTTATCACACCAAATTACCATGTTAACTTGACAGCCCTAACGCAAACTGAACCTCAAGCCCTCTATCTTTAGCCTCAAACCAGGTTTTAAAGCACTACAAAGATTTTACAAGAAGTTTAAGAATCTGAATAGAGGTCATGGAGTGGAATGAGGTATCAGTCTAAAGCCAAACATGCTTAAAGCTCTTGACTGCCCTTGTATCACAAAGCATCCCCAAACCCCTACAAAAACATTATAAAGCACACACAAGAAAATAGAGAATAAATAGAGGCCAGCTGATTTGTGCTCTAGGAATGTGTAGCGACAAAATGTAAACAGGGTTTTGTATTGATTTTTGACTACAGGTGAGATTGCTGGACTCATTTCTGTCAAGTATTAGCCTAATGTGACCAGTTCAGGCTGTTGACCTATGCTAGTAAAGAGGAGAAATTACCTGCGTTTTAATGGAATCACTGCAGTTGGCATGGTTTGGTTAACATGTTTAGCGTCTAGACTACAATGTATGCACTACCCAGTACCTTTTAAAAACATACTGTCTTCGATTAATGCATTATCTTTAAAACTACTAAGCAGATGAAAAAAGAATGAATCAAATAGGCGAATCGCAACTGCAATCATGGAGTTACATGTCTGCAGAGGTGAGCATTAATTGGCTGTTCCATGATTACACTAGAGAAGCTATGGGGGTGGAGTTTAGCACTACCAAAGCTTCACTACTATACCAATACCTTGCAGTGGGTGGAGCTTATAGGAATGCCCACATTTGAGGCAACGAGCACTGTTAGAGCACTCATTACTTCAATGCAAAATCCACTGTGAAAAGACGACAAATGACAAGACAAAGACAAACACAACAGATAAAACATAAGAGACACACATAGCATGGAGCAAGACACCAGTGGCCCGAGCAAATGCAGACAAATACACAGCAACATGCCATGAGAGAGATGAGGAGGGGGACAAAGAGATGATGCAGTGAAGCATCACTTAAACACAGATCTGTGAAGAGAAGAGTGTTATTTCATCCTGAGGCCTGAGAGCAGAGGAGGGAGCGTTCGTCTTCATTTCTAAAGGGTTTGAGAGAGCTGTCTCAGCCTTGATGAGAGTGTCCATTGTCCCAGGATTGACACCAGTGTGCAGTAAAGTTGCTTTATAAGCATCAGAAACAGTGACCGAGCCAATGACATCAGTAACTGGATGGCTGAGATCAGAGAATCCAGGATGCCTGCCAGAGTATAATCTTGATTAAAAATAAATACATCAAATGCCATTATCAATTAAAAAAATAATAATAAATAAGTGCTTATCGTTCAGAAAATGTTGCTCATGCACTTCAAACAACATATCATATGATATGCTTTATTTTCTATTTATTACATGAGGATTTTTCTGTTACTAAAATACTGGTAATCTTGTCTAAATTATGTCCAACATAATGCAGTCATAAACCTGATTTATGTGATTTCCTTATTTTCTAAAAATAAACATTTTTAATTTAATTAAATTCATTAAATACAAAAATAACATTTCAAAATAATAGTGAAGTCCTATTAGTCTAGTTAATTTGGTACTATATTTTTGTTAGTAGTAACAGTGCTATTTTAGTATTATTTCTGATTGTTTTAACTTTTTAGTATTATTTATTAATAGCATTATTTATTAATATTTTGAATTGGCTTTTATTCATATATTGAGTTTATTTTATTTTTAGTTTCAGTCATTTTGTTAAGTGCTTTTGTCATTTTTTAATATTTAGCTTTGATTTTTATTTCAATTTTAGTTTCAATAAGTATTTCAATTGAAACATTTTCAGTTATTTGCTAATGCAACATATCTCATTTTTAAGTTTTTGATCTAATACTTATATTTTATTTCAGCTATTTAAATTAACAAAAAAACTTTTTTAAAAACTTTAGCAAAGTAACAACAGTGGTTATTAATAAACTTATATTTCCTATAAAAATTCTACTTCAAACTTAATTCTTATACCTTAACTTTGGTAACTGGATTAAATGGTTGAGCTGGGCAACTTGTTCTTTATTGACAACTAGTTATTTACTTGTCTAAACATAACACTAAGCATTTTTCTACAATTATTTATAATTCTACAATTATATCATTTGATTGTATGAGTTTAATAGTTGATTACATTTGAGGTCTAGCGAGGTCGAGACCAGCGAGACGGGACACAACCAAATAATTGTCAGACATTTGACTCAATGTGAAACAATGGAGTAGAACATGAGATTTGGTCAGTTTGTTGTGATTGGACAGCACCCTATTTGTGTAAAGTGTCAAGTGGTTGTGCATCCATGTCATTATTTATCAATAACAAATAGCATCATGTGCGGAAAGCTGATGTGGGCACCTCTCATTCCCTGCAAAAACAAGACGGCTCCCTCTTCTCTCTGGTGGAGTGCATACAATAACCTAAGGGGGCCAGCTGGGCTCTGACCCGATCTTTACCTTGCAGTGTGTCGTACTGATTGGAAGTCCGATATTGGACGCCAAAACAACAGTGATCGCTGAGGCCAGCTCAATAGTGAATCCACTGCGGGGGGAGGGCAACAAAACACAACTTTATACAGTCACACCTGCAGTTCAACCAATAATTGCAATGCATGCCGTTGAGAGAGGCTGGTGCACGTGCAGCACGCAGGTCTGGAGGAGTGGAAACATTTTAACAGGCATGCAAAAAGTCCACAAGGAGATGAAGGTGAAGTAACAAGAAAACAAGGTTGACAGGTTTTCTGTGAGTTTTTGCCTATTAAGTATGAACGTGTGAGTGAGTGTGCATCACAGGGTAGACACGTGTGCATGCATGCAGGTGGAAACAGCGGCAGTTCTGTGGTGATTACGCTTGTGCCGATAAACTCCTGTGGCCTCTTAAAACACACACAGACAGCATGAACGTGAGGAAGATATGCACTGTGCACAAACAAGCAGACAAACCTTCCATCAAATCATGCAAACCAATCTAAACAGCAAGAGTTTTGAAAAAAAGGTATACTGCATGGTGTTCGCTATTCCCTTACATTGTCCCCATTAAAAAAAAAAAACCCAACTCCTTCCTGTCAACAAACATCAAAGCCAATGAGCAAGCTGACAGATACTGAGATCACATTGATTGTTATTTCGGTGCGCTACGTGAGGGCATGAGACAGGGAGCATGGCCACCTGATGCACACTCACTCAGTATAGACTGACTGTCATGCAGGATTGTAGAGACCTGCAGTGCGAAATCGTTCAGTCACACACACATTGAGAAACTGCAAATTGTTCCAGCAAATCAAAATAATTTTCAAATCATAATTATTTGCTTTTTTGTTAAATCTTGTTGAAAGTTTCTGTCTTTAGAAAATATTTAAAATAATAATAAAAATGAATAATAATCACATTAACTTCCATGAATTTTCTTTCTTGTTAATGTTTGATGAGTTTTTTTTAAATACACCATTACTATAATTTTTAATTTTCTGATTAAAATTGGCAAAACTCACCATCATACTACATTGTTCTGGGTAGTTGTAAGCCAATAAGATTTTTTTTGGAGTAAACTTTCAGTAACTTTTTCTGTTACATCTGTTACTTTATCATCTAATGACAGATACTTTATGTACAGAAAACTGTGCCATGAAATGATCCCGGTTTCATTGAATCCAGTGAAAGTTTAAGTGATGATGAATAAATTGACAGTAAAAAAAAAAAAAAAATTTCACACTTAAAAGTCTGTGTGTGATGAGATTCACGTGAAGAAACACTAATTCGCTATTAAAATAATTTCTAAATTCTTTTTTTTTTTTATATATACAATTTTGGATCTATTTTTGGATCAACAGAAACAGATTATTACACTAAAATAATTAGCTTTTTTATTTCAAAGGCTCATTTAACATTTTTTGATTTTGGTTTGGATTTGTGTCCAGTTACATTTCAGTATATCAGTATTTAGTAATCATGACTTCCTAACAAGCATCTCTAGAAAAATGAACCGCTGTTGGCTTTCTCAGAACAATGACAAGAGATCTTTTTATAGGGTGGAAAGCCTTTGTTCTGATTATCAACTCAAGCTCATTTGTTTTTGACAGTTTGTCTCGTTACTAAGAGAAAGCAAGGTCGCTGAGGCTGTGTGCACAAGTGTCTTGCTAAATATAGCAAACTCAGGCAGTTCTGAGCAGTGGGTGCAAAACAGTGTCAGCATCATTACTCCAGTCTTGAGTGTCACACGATCCTTCAGAAATTGGTCTAATATGCTGATTTGATACTCACGAAAGTCATGTTCACACTTAAAAGTCTGTGTGTGATGAGATTCACGTGAAGAAACACTAATTCGCTATTAAAATAATTTCTAAATTCTTTTTTTTTTTTATATATACAATTTTGGATCTATTTTTGGATCAACAGAAACAGATTATTACACTAAAATAATTAGCTTTTTTATTTCAAAGGCTCATTTAACATTTTTTGATTTTGGTTTGGATTTGTGTCCAGTTACATTTCAGTATATCAGTATTTAGTAATCATGACTTCCTAACAAGCATCTCTAGAAAAATGAACCGCTGTTGGCTTTCTCAGAACAATGACAAGAGATCTTTTTATAGGGTGGAAAGCCTTTGTTCTGATTATCAACTCAAGCTCATTTGTTTTTGACAGTTTGTCTCGTTACTAAGAGAAAGCAAGGTCGCTGAGGCTGTGTGCACAAGTGTCTTGCTAAATATAGCAAACTCAGGCAGTTCTGAGCAGTGGGTGCAAAACAGTGACCAGTCTCTTCAATCGAACCTTATTCTAAAGTGTGTTAAAAATTTAAATTAAGTCATTCTACGGTGAAATTTAACCCGATTTGTGGTGGTAACACAAAGAGGGATTGAGGGCAAGTACCCAAACGGGAGAGGAGAAAAGCCGATAAACAGAACTAATCTAGCAAGATTTCAATATCAGATAAACTATTGTGTGCCTGCTGCCAAAGCACATGCTCCGTTTCTGTAGTCTACGATTACACCTTCAGCACTGGTTTAGGACCAAGAGGAAGGTTTCAGTTCTGTCAGCGTTTTACACCAAAAACCGGTCCCCCACCTCAACAATTTTCCACTTGCTACAGGAAAAGAAAGACACCTTTTGTATTGTCAGAAATAAATAAAACATGGAAAAATAGTGTGTTTTTGTCATGGGTTTCCTGTAAGAGGCCACTTAAATTAAACTCACTGTACACTGTGCAATTTTTCTGTTCTTTTTGATTGCTGCTTGTTAGATTGAACGGTATGATGCCAGTGAGACCTTAGGTCAAATTTCTAAATTATGGGCAAAATCATACAGTGTGCATTGGGCTTAAGAAGATTTCTTACAGTGGATAAGAAATCATTACATCTGCATGCAACAGGAGCACATGCATCAATTATCATGCACAAACATCATGCTCTCTGCCAAAAGGCTGATCTCACCTGGAGGGGGTGATGGGAGTGAGGTCTTTGCCCATCGTTTGAATGACACGTCGACCCCAAACCCACAGTCCAGTACAGATTCCAATGCCGCCATAGAACAGCAGCCAGATTGGTGTGGCCGCATCCTGCATCACCCCACCCTGTTCGTAAATCATCCACAGGGCCACCAAAGGGCCAATTGCATTACTGCAGAAAAGGAAAAAACAAGCATGTTCACAGGGGAAGTGACATGAAGCCATGTGGTCTTTAAATCAACATATTAGCTGAACTCAGCCCCAAAATGTATCATGATTATGAAAAGATATCTTCCTGTGATGGCAAAGCTGAATTTTCAGCATCATTACTCCAGTCTTGAGTGTCACACGATCCTTCAGAAATTGGTCTAATATGCTGATTTGATACTCACGAAAGTCATGTTCACACTTAAAAGTCTGTGTGTGATGAGATTCACGTGAAGAAACACTAATTCACTATTAAAATAATTTCTAGATTACATTTTTTTTTTTTTAATATATACAATTTTGGAGCTTAGACATCAACAGAAACAGATTATTACACTAAAATAATTTGCTTTTTTATTTCAAAGGCTCATTTAAAATGTTTGATTTTGGTTTGGATTTGTGTCCAGTTACATTTCAGTATATCAGTGTTTAGTAATCATGTTATAAACAGTTTTGCACTTTAATATTTGTGTGAAAATCTTTTTTTTTTTTCAGGATTCTTTGATAAATAGGAAGTTCAAAAGAACAGCATTTATTTAAAATAGAAATCTTTTGTAACATTATTGTCTTTACTGTAACTTTTGATAAATTTATTGCAATTTTTTAAAATAAAAACATTAATTTCTTTATTAAAAAAAAAAAAAAAATCTTATGGACCCCAAACTTTTGAGCGTATAAACCAGAGAATGAATCTGCCCTAAATTAATTTGCCCCCAAAACTAAAATGGAAAAATAATTTAAATGAACAAAGAATTATTATTATTATTATTATTATTATTATTATTATTAAATATTAATAACATATTTATTAATACATTTATGAAATAATTATTATTTCATTTTGAGCTGCTATTGATTTGACAGTGGAGAGGTCACATGCTCTCAGTAAAAAAAACAGTACAAAAGCTGTCACTGGGGCAGTACCCTTTTAAAAGGCACGCGTTTGTACCTTATTTACCCCTAAAGGGTGCATATAAGGACATATTGGTACATATGGTCTATATTTTGTACCTTTCAAAAAGGTACTGCCCCAGTGAGAGCTTTAGCACTTTTTTTTCTGAGGGAGAACTTTGTTTGAATTTTGTTTACACTTCACACTAAATAGAAACACAATAATCAAATGATGTCACCAATAAAACCAGTTGAAAGATTTTAACTGTCAAAGCATTAAGCAGCTGAAGTTAGCCCAAACTAATGGCCACATCTCACTTGGGTCTTAACAGTCTGGGCATGAGCCAAATCATCTGCAGAGCCATGAACCAGATCTGTGGCACTGAACTGAGGGCTTGTTCTCAGGGCACACTAATGCTGTGGAATGTGAAGAAATGGTGCACATAGTACAGTAGGTCTTATTCTGAATGCACTAGTCACACTAAAAAGTAAAAATATTTAAAAAAGAAACTACCAAAGTTTCTCAAAAGCATACTTAAAAACTTGCACATAAAAATGAATTAATCTTGGTTTTGAAACATAGACATCAAATGGCATACCTGACATCATTCCCCCCATGCGCAAACGATCCGAAACAGGCGGTCAGGATTTGCAGGAAGTGGAAGAGCAGGAAGACTTGAGGCTTGTCCTTCTCCTCCTTGTCCTCATCAACACAGTCCTCCAGCACCCCTTCAGCTGGGGCCCGGGGCTCCCTTTTATCTGCTGCCAACTTCACATCCACGTCACCTTCCTCCGCTTCAATCTCAGCCTCTGCAACCGCGTTACAGTAGCTGGAATAGCTGTCGTAACGCAATCGCTTCTTCGAATAGAAGACTGTGTCGCCCACTAGCTTCTCACTGTCTTCTGGAGGAGGGGCGCTGGATTCCGACCGCATTAGGGGCTGCACCGGCATGCCGCAGATGGCTGCTGTGTAACATGTATAGCTGTTGTTGCGGCGGCGGTGACGGTAGTTGTTGTCGGGACGTGAGCCGCTGCGCTCGTCCTCCAGGCGGCCCAGGTGGATCTTGTGAAGGAGGTCCTTGTAGAGACCAGAGTCCTTATGAACCGTGTGATAGACCTGGCCATCGCTGCGCATGTGTCCGTCAAAGCTGAAGCCCCCATTGGACACGGGTGACTTGAGGCACCCGTTGGTCATGGAGTTGGTGCGACCTGACAGGAAAAAAAAAAAAAAAACGAAATAAGCCCATAAGGTTAGCACAGGACATTTTGGTCAGATAGTACCCATTAAAAACAAGATAAGTCCTTTAACGTACCATACACTCTGCCGTTGGGCAGGACGGTGCCTCCATTAGCCAGGCTGTTCAGCTCTCCTGTGGACTCCTCTGTCAGGGGCAGCACAGCATCGTTGTTGCTTTTCGCACCTGGAAGCTCTTTAAACACAGGGGCTTCCTCTTCCTCCTCCGGGATTTTATCCAAACTCTCATCAGAGATGCGGGAAAGAGCATGCTCTTTCTTCAGCCGACCTGTTTTGGGAAAAAAAAAGCCAGGAAACCATTAAATATAGTCATATATTAGGTATCAATGATAGGGATGCATGATATATCAGCATTCTATTGGTTTTTGGCCAATATTTTATTTTTTTATCATATCAGTCCATACAGGATATTTAATTGTGCATCATCTTAGTTCCATCATTTTTACATTTAGCATTGCATTAATCTAACGGTCTAAGTTAATCTTTAAAAACAATAATAATGTAATAACATGTTTAAATGTTATCTTTAGCCAATATAAATTTTTCATATCGGACATTATAACGTTATCATTAAATGTATTAAATTCACTTTGATACAATACACTTTAATACACTTCAATCTGATTTTAGTTTTTAGTGTTTAATTTTAAATTTACACTGTAGTTAAAAAATTTGTGGTCTTTTGAGCAAGATTTTTTTAATGCTTTTTAAAAAAAGTCTTTAATGCTCACCAAGGCTGAATTTATTTGATTACAAATACAGTAAAAAGAATTATATTGTGAAATATTGCAATTTAAAATAACCATTTTCTATTTGAATATATTGTAAAAATGTAATTTATTACTGTGATGCAAAGCTGTACAGTCAGCATTATTACTCCATTCTTCAGAAAACATTCTAATATGTTGATTTGGTGCTCATGAAACATTTCTTATATTTTATCATTTTGTTGAAAACAGTTCTTATTATTTTGGTGGAGACTGGGATTACAATTTTCAGGATTCTTTGATGAATAGAAAGTTGTAAAAAGAACAAGATTTGTGTGATATAGAAATCACTTTTGATCAATTGAATGCAGCCTTGCAGAATAAAAGTATTAATTTCTTTCATCAACAATAAACACACTACCCCAAATATTTAATGGTAGTGCAATTTTGACAAAATTATATAGAATTTTCACTTATTGGTATCAGCCAGAATAGTATCATCAGTGCATCCCTAATCAACATAAATGTTATTTGCAGAGCAGACGAGGGGAAGTAGGCAAGCTTTGTGAAAGTGGTGAAAAGCTGAAAATTAAAAGCAGCATTAACAATATTACAGTGAGAATAATATAATCAAGCAAACATAATCACTAATAAACATGGATAATTCCATGCGTGAAAAACTGTGATATCAGTATGATTACAATTGGCCTTTTTAAATCGAGCAGTGATAATGAACAACAATAACAAGCACTTTAAATTAGCGCCCCACATATTTAATGCTAATTTTGAGCTACACACATTGATCCTTCTCAACAGCCTAAAAGCCAAATAAATAAATAGATTCCTACAACTCTGTTTCCCATGGGAAACCGCACTATGAAACAGACCCTTGATCTGAAAACAAATTTAATAAAGCAAGCAACAATTTAAAGCGCTGATCCGTGAGTGAAAGCAGTGCTTCAACATTTCATTTCATTAGTGATTCATTTCATTAAAGGCACAATATGTAAGATTTTTTTAATTAAAATATCCAAAAACCACTAGAACAGTGTTATATATGTTGCTGACTTGTGTACTTACATTCCCAAATGTTTCGAAGAATGTTTAAATCCAGAGAAATAAGCAATTTTAACTAGTGACACGGACCGTGTCCATAGTGTCATTGTGTGGCCTGCCAATGACGTCATACACCCTCGATTTCCGGTTTTGTTTTGTAGGAAACATGAAAACACCAAAAACGCTTTAATATGTTGTGCGTTTTAATAGGCCGGTGACGACCGCACAGAGTAGCATTATAACAGAACTTTCAAATGTATCTAGTATGATAAAACAGCACTGCTTGTTTTCCCCACATACGCACGACCGGAAGGAGCGGAAGCGGTCGACTGTGGCATAATAAAAGCTCCGCTGCTCTCGAGCCGTGTGTCGCGCTCGTTCAGCGGCCTAGTTTCGCTTTGACGGCTTTCAGCCTCACCCGGCTTCATTCTACTATGTTAACAAATCATTAGCTCATCCATGAACAGTGTTGGGCAAGTTACTTCCAAAATGTAATACATTATATATTACTAGTTACTGTCTTTTGAAAGTAATTAGTTACATTACAATATTACTGTCTCTGAATTGTACTGCGGAATTTTTTCTCTGGTGCTGTTTTGCGGTGTTGGTAAATTCACCCCTTAATTTAGAGTTAAAATATGTTGTTGTAACCTGCGTTACTGAGATTGTAACGAGTAATAATATTACCCAAATTTTATTAGTAATGCGTTATATTACTGCGTTACAGCAAAAAGTAATATACTACTGTAATATTATTACTTTTGTAATGCGTTACTCCCAACACTGTCCATGAACATGATTTCTGCCCGAGTCCCGTCAGATTGCATCAGCTGTGGGGATGAAGACAACAACTCCCATGATTCCACACGGAGTCATCAAACTACGCCTTTACGAAAATTACATATTGTGCCTTTAAGACACTTCTCTCAATCAAAACATGTGAGCAGCCAATCTTGCACTGAGAAAGGTACATCGACTGAACAAAGTCCGTGTGACTCATCTGGGAAAAAAACTGTGATGTTCTCAAATAAACAGCTTCAGTTTATTTGCTTTTTATTTCTCTCAGCGTCAGTCGAACGCAACATGGGCCCGCAAGCCAGAGCCAGCAAAATATAGTCTTTACATTACAGAGTGCCCCAGCAGAGCAGAGCAGCAGATGTTCCTTCCCCTCCTGAGCTGGTGAAGATGCCTCATGCTGAGTCACAACTTTGATTTTTTTACAAAGCTAGATTAAAGATAACATCTAACTAAATGGCCAGATGTCAAAAACACGTGGATCACACAATTTCTGCAAATGTAATTAGTAATACCAACTGTCCTCAGATAATTGATTCCTAATTGGAAAAAGAAATAGAAAATTTAGGACAAACACAGACATCTGACAGAGACATTAAAAACACCTAAAGTCACAAGCCTGCGGGAGGGATAAGGACAATACATACTTGCTATTTTCCTTCTCATCCAGGGGCAAACAAAAATCCAGACCAGACCGGCACATACCAGAGCACCAGCCAAAGTAATGAGGGCAACAGCCCAGACAGGGAGCATCTCCAAGCCCAGTACTGCACAATAAAGAAAGAGCGTGACACACTCACACATATAAATACATTTAAAACCAATCCAGTGAATTTATCTTGATAGAAAAGGTATTTTACATGGAAAGCGATCTTAAAACAATGTTGAAAACATGGCCTATTCAGTGACAACAAACAAACTCGTGTCTGATCAAGGACATCTTTTGGGTGAATGTGTTATCACTTCAAGACAGGCTTACCGGGAGCTCCAGTGTACATGATGGAGAAGGTGTTGATTCCGATGGTTGATGCGTAGAAGAGGGGCAAAGCACAAAGACCATTGGGAACAGGGTCATCCTGTAAAGGACAGATCACAGAAAGAGCTTAAACTCTGTATATACGACACAGATGCCATGAATAAGAACAAAACGCATCCAATGTTACATTTATTGCTAATTTTTTTGTTTGTTTATACATTAAAGTCACTGTAATTCTTTAGTAAAGTTAGATGCAATATTTTGCTGCTTAAAAAATTATCCATGGTTGCTTACAATTTAGGCGAAGCACATTTCAGTGTTTAGTTTTTATATAGAATTTAGTTTAGATTATAGATTTTAGTTTTATTTATATAGAACTATAGCATTTGTCAATATTTTGAATGAGCTTTTATTTTTATATTACCAGTATTTTATGCGTTAATTTTAATTAGAATTTTTAATATTGCTGTTTAGTAGGGATGCACGATATTGGATTTTTGCCGATATCCAATATGCCGATATTTTTCAACTCATTTTGACCGATACCAATATATTTCCTTTTGTTTGGAAACAACACCAAGTCTTTCCGGTGCAGAAATTATAAGCAAAATATTTTTAATTTTGGTTAGTTTTTAACAAGAACTTATCTGTTAGAATTAAATAAACAATAATTAAGGTTTTTGACAGTACACTGAAGCTTTGAAAATAACTATAAATAAACTATATATCAATCGCTGCATTTTTTCCCCAGAAAGATGCAGTGTTAACTCTAACATTTTATTTTAAGATTTAACATTTGTAAATGGTCTACAGCAAAAGAGTTGTAAAAATTCTGAAAATCTTTTAGAGCTTATGATTTGTTTAAAAAATAAAACATTACACATTAATGAATAAATCAGTATATAAAATTATTTAATTTACAAGTGTCATGTTTGTGATTTTTTTTTTCATGTAAGCTATAGCTTCTGACCTATAAATCAAAACATACTTGTTATTTTATGACATCAATTACTGCTTTATTTAATCAGAAACACAGTCTAAATGTTATTTGTGTAGGCTATTTTACTTTTAATTTAATTAGAAGTAGGCCAACAGCGCCCCCTACAGATTAAAACTCCTTACAGAACGGGCATTAGGACCCGGGGGAGGATGCCGCTGCACATGCTATTACTGTTTACTCTATCACAGTGAATCTAATCATCATTCAGACAAAACTTTGCTCCAAGAATGAGCCACACTGCTGACTTGATCTAATCACTATCACACCCTGAGCACATGTGAGTTAATGTATTCCTCTTATCGGCAAGACATATCGGCATAATTTTTCATATCGGGCCGATGCCGATATTTACATTTAAAGCCATTATCGGCCGATTCCGATATCGGTCCGATAATATCGTGCATCCCTACTGTTTAGCTTAGTTTTTTTTTTTTTTTTCTAGTTTTAGTTTTACTTATTTTAGTACTTCAGCTTTAACTTGCTACAGCAACATTTCTAAGTTTTAGCAATAACAACAATAATTTAAATACTCAATTAAAGGGATAGTTTTTTTTTTTTTAGGTGAACTGTTCCTTTAAACCACAGTCCTTATGTCGTCACATGTAAGAATGCATTTCACTGTTCCTAACTCTTTAAGGCTTAAATATTCAAGTGTTTACTGAAGCAGAGTCTACACCAGCCACACATTTAAAAGATGAATAGCTGTCGACTGTAAAGTAGTTGCTGTGCCATCACAGTTGAGCTATTGGCATGCAATATAAACAGCCACAGGCACCGTTACTTGGAAATAGCTGAATGCATGTCAAAGAGTAAATATAATGAAAACATGTGAGGTCTTATAAGGACCGGTGATGGACTGGTATACTGAAGGACTGGACAAATGTCTCTGCTGCACTCGAATGTTTATATTGGATGTCTGAATCAAAAGCGCAAAACACTTGTCTGAGAACTTTGAACCGTTTTTTTTTCCTCCATTCCGATGTCAAAATTTATCAAAGCGTGATAACTGAAGTAAGGTGATGAAAGACAGGTGTAATAGTCGACCCATGACTCACCTTGTTAAGAATGAAATATCTGATGATGAAGAAAAGCAGACCAGACATGAGACCAGACAGCAGAGGGGAGATGAACCATGAAGCAACTGCATTAAATAAACAGCAATTACTAAATCAATAGCATGCCAATATAATGACGCATAATGCTGCTACAGGCACAAAGGCCAACAGGCAACGTTAAATAAATTACACATCTCGGTTACAAGTATATTAACAACAAAAATTAGATAATATCACTCCAGAGAAACAATACACTACCATTCAAATGCTTGAGATTTTTTTAATGTTTTTGAAAGAAGTTTCTTTTGCTCACCAAGGCTGCATTTATTTGATCAAAAATACAGTAAAAACTAAATACTGTGTAATATGATTACAATTAAAAATAATAATTTAAATGTATTTTAAAATGTAAATTTATTCCTTTGATGGCAAAGCGGAATTTTCGGTCTTCAGTGTCACATGACCCTTCAGAAACCATTCTAATATGTTGATTTGGTGCTCAAGAAGCATTTCTTATTATTATCAGTGTTGAAAACCGTTTTGCTGCATAATATGTTTGTGTCATTTTTTTATACAGGATTTATTTTGAATATAAAGTTCAAAAGAACAGTATTTAATTGAAATATAAATCTTTTGTGACATTATAAATGCCCTTACTATTACTTTTGGTCCATTTAATGCATCCTTACTGAATAAAATTATTTCTTTTTTACTAACGGCCAAACTTTTGAACAGTAGTGTAAAATGAATTAGGACACAGGACATTAAATAAAGAATTAGACAGCAGAAACATTCAGTAAAAGGCTGACCTTAAGCACTCAGTTGCTCCGTTTAAAAAAGTTTTGAAATTTTCTGGTGTGCAAATAACTACCACAGTATAATAAATAATGAATTGCATAACGGATTTTTTTTCTTACCAATTTTGACTAACTGCATCCACTGTACTCCTTTAGTGCCAATAGCAACCATGGAGAAGCCAATAGTAGATCCCACAATGCAATGAGTTCCAGAAATGGGCAACTTCAGAAAAGAGGCAATGAGTTGCCAAACCGCAGACCCTGAAAAAGATGGGAATTGCAGTGGGAGGTAGAGCAACAAAAAAAAAGTCTTCCAGCCATATGTTCTCTTCCCTTCTGTCTTCAATACAGACTCTAGAAGGGATACTATTAAAAACATTACAATGTAGCCATTCATTATCCAGTGATATAAAAAATAAAAAACCTGCATAACTTTTTTTTTTAACCATCCATGCAGTGTTCTTTGAATTAGATGTTTTTTTAATTAAAATTTTTTACTCTTTTACAGCTAACATGCTCTATTACAACTTGCTCTAAAACAGGTGATCATGACTCCCAGAATCTGGCAGCCTACAGCGAATAAACGAATGCCTCGCTAAGCTTCTCCATCATTAATCTTCGAAATTGAGGTTTCAACTTTAAATGAGCCATTACTTACCGACCATGGCGCTGACCTCTCCCGCCATCAGTATCGGCACCGTTTCATTGTATAAACTGACATCTATAATTCCCTTCCGAATGGTTTCCCCGACCTTGGCACCGAGGAGCATGGAGCCAAGGGTCTCAAATATGGAAGCCAGGATGCAGGCCTGACGTAGTGTCACCACCCCTGACCCGACCGCTGTGCCAAACGAGTTTGCCACGTCATTGGCCCCCACTGAAAATGCCAGGATGAAGGCTATAATGAAGCCAATCACGACCATCCACAGGTACGGCTCCAAATCCATCTTGACTTTTGTTCACACAAAGACAAATGAAACCCAAACAAACAACTACAAAGAACTGGAGTAAGGTGCTGTACTATGAAGGAAACTCTCCTTCGCCTGTTTTTTTTTTCCCAACTTTCCCCAGGCTAAAAGAGTTCTTGGGGGAGAGGCACACTGCTAACTAAGCCGTTTAACCTCAGTCTGTAGAGTGCTGAGCAGTGTAGGCAGGAGAGAGTATTCCATTGTTTGGCCCTCTAAGTGTCCTGTCCACAAAGACGCCTTCAGCTGTCAAAACAAGAGAGACAAGGACATCATTAGACAGTATTTGAGCTTTCCTTATTGACTGCATAATGTAGCCTAAAAGACCATGGGAAATGGAAAAGTTGGAGAGACAGGTGTTGGTGATCATTAAAGCTAGGAAAATAAAATAATTATAATACAGGCTTAGGGCACTTTTCTCAACATCAAACAATAAAAGGTCAGTAAAAGGAGGAGCTTATCCTTCTCACGATGCTGACTATCAACTTCAAGAAATCAAAATTGGGATCTAAACACTGATCCCATAGGCTTTATTTTTTTCAGTTTTAGTTATTTTCTAGTAAAAAACATAAAAAATACAAGTGAAATAATGACAAAATTCATAATTAAAAGATGGGGAAAAAACACCAGAATGAGTAACAGAGTTAAAAACTATATAAAGGTTTGTGTTCACTTTCCATAAATTTAAGAAAAAATATTTGTTTGATCATTTTCACAAAAGGATATATTTTCACATATGCAGTACAAAATAAAGACAACAAAGTAAACAAAAACTCAGCAACAAACTTCAACAAATGGTTAGAAAAGTTGGTGCTTAGTCTTCAGAAAATGGTTATTATAAACCTAGAAATCAACCATTAGGACACATCTAAAGCGAGTTTAAAGGGGTCATATGATGCGATTTCAAGTTTTCCTTTCTCTTTGGAGTGTTACAAGCTATTCGAATGATCTTTAAAAAAGCATCATATGACCCCTTTAAAACACTGCTTCTGTGCCTTGACCTAGTAAAAAAATATCAAATTAATTCACAAAATTCTTAATTAAAATAAATAAATAAATGGAATAACAGGGTTGAAAATAGCTAGTTAGGAACTAAATGTTGGTTTGTAGTTATTTTCCAAAAAATTAAGAAAACTATTTGTTTCATATTTTTTCCCTCTCACAATAACTCACAGTAACGGGGCTGAAGGTTGAACATGACAAACTTGACCACTTGACAAGTCCAAATAAAACTGTAGAAGAATGTTACATTGTTTGGAAAAAGGGGGGAAATCATGTGGTAACAGGATTAATAATCACAAATTTGTTTGACTACAATGAAATTCATATTTCATCAGATTATGTGAAGATTATGACAATATTATGACGTTATTGTATGACTTTAATCGTTGGATAGAGTCGGAAAAGTCAAGAACTTAGAAGTGAGACAGGCCAAAACTAGCATTTTGAGGAGGTGGGATATACATATTTGGAATGTTACAATTTTACTAGTATGGAAATTTACTATATTTAATGTAAGTGTAAAATATAATGATTTGTTTAACAAAAAACATGGGATTTCAAGGTTTGAAATAAAACATCAAATAGCATTACATAAAACAGGCAACAAAAAAAAAACACTTGAGCACTTACATTAACTGGCCACCTTACACGACACCAAGGGCGAAGCATTCAGGTGTGACCAGGACACAACGTGACTAACAGTGTACGTCCATAACAGAATGTAACATCGCAGTAAGCACCGCAAAACAATCACTCCTGCTTCACATCTCCTCTCGGCTTCTTGGTTTGATTTCAGGTTTGAGTCTGCCACCGAGCCAAGCAATACAGCTAGTCGTGCTCCAGTTGCACTGTGCAACACTGCGGAGTCGCAGCCACTAATACCTGCTTACAGCCTCCTCGCTTCCTGCTTTCCCCACTCTAAGAATCTTAGTGGGTCAAATTCATTGGAAAACGGCAGGTCTGTAAATGGGCCACTATGTGCTCGGTGAAATCTGATCAGTCCTGTTTATTGGAACGACTGATCCCACACCATGGGGGGACAGTACGGTATTTAGAGCATCAGTCAACAGCTGATGACTGAATGGATTTTAAAGCATTACAAAGACACAGTATATGATCGTATAGTGATGTCAAAACCATCACCTGTAGAATTACAGAGCGTCCTCACCACATGCCAAACCTGCAATGTAGTGGGTTAAAAATCACTGCTCAGAAGTCAACTCGGAGGGGGGACAACGGCACATTCTTCCACTTCACTAAGCCTGTTGTTTAAAGGGAATTACATGTAAACAGTGGGAAAGCCAGACTAATACATGCTCAAGGTATTTACTAATTGTGTGCAATAGTCACGTGAATGTCAACACCTCACGTATCAAACATCACATGGTTGCCGACTTTGTCACAAAGGATGGTCTGTATAGTAGTCATGGTTATGTTTTAAGTCACCCTTGGTAGATGTGACAGAAATGGGTGGCATAATGTCTGAAACTGTAATTTTTGCAATTCAATCGGATGCAGAAATTACACACTTCACCTATAAATAAAACTAACCTGAGATGTACCTGCATGTCAAGCACAACATAAAGCCCCAGGACAGCTCACGCAGCCCAACTAGCACAGGCTGTATGCTCAAATGATGACACATGCAATTACATTAAAATAACATCCCAACTGGAGGGGTGTTAAAAACCTATATATGGAATAGATATTGAATACATATAAATTATATAGTTCAATAGTTTGGGGTTAAGGGATTTGGGTTTCCTTTCAGCAATGATGCATTAAATTGATCAAAAAAGTCAACTGTCAAAAGTGACAGTAAAGATTAATAATGTTACTAATAATTTTTATTTCAAATAGGGGTGGGACAAAATATTGGTAGGGCAATATATCATTGTCCTTCTCCGTGCGATACGAGAATTGATCCGCTGGCACCAAATATCAATATTTTAATTAACAAAATAAGGCACTCTAAATAGATTTCCCTGCTCCCAACGTCGCTACTTCATGGCTCCTCGAGGTGGCGCTCAACACATGAATGAGGGAAACGTGGACATAAGTTAACTAGCTTAAGAAAAAGAGGTTTTTAATGGGATGGCGGACAGCAGTGTGAGTAAAATAATAGATGCCCCAGCTACATTTAAGTACAGTGGTAGAGTTACACTCACGGGACACTGCACTTATTCACAATCACAAAAGTACATTATTTGCATGTGCTTTATAGCCTTGCCAGTTAAACAATTAGGTCCCGATCAGACAGAACACGTTTGTCAGGTTTGAAAATGCGAGGGGCACTGCACTGCCTTTTTTTGTTGCCTTTTTAAATTTAGAAAAGAGCAGTATGCTGCGTTTTTTTTTTGGTATACACAATATTATCAGAACGCTATCGTAATCGGCCGATAAGGCTTAAAATGTAAAAATCGCATCAGCCCGATATGAAACATTATGCCGACATTGTATTTACTTAGAAGGCGCTGTTGGCCTACTTGTAATAAAATGTAAAAATACACAAATAACATCAAGATCATGTTTCTGATTAAATAAAGCAGTAACTGATGTCATAAAAATCACCAGTATGTTTTTATTTAAGGGTCAGAAGCTATAGCTGAATAAAAACCACAAACATGTCACTTGTAAATTAAATCACTTTATATATACAGATTTATTCATTAATGTGTGATATATTTTTTCCAAAAAGATTATGAAAACTTAAAATTCTAAATAAAATCTTTAAATAAAATATCTAAAAGATTTTCAGTATTTTTAGAACCTCTTTTGCTTTAGACCATCTACAAATGTTAAATCTTCAAATAAAATGTTAAGGTTACCACTGCATCTGTCTGAAGGAAAAAAAAAATGCAGTGATTGATTTATAGTATTTTTAAAGCTTTCAACGTACTCTCATTAAAAAAGAAATCCATTATTGTTTTGTTTTTTTAATCGAACAAGTAGTTTTTGCTCAAAACGAACCAAAATTAAATATAATTTGTTTATAATCTCTGCACAGGAGAGACCTGGCGTTTTTTCCAAGCAAAAGGAAATATAGCCTTTTGGTATCGGCATCGGTTATAGGCCAAAATGAGTTAAAACATATCGGTATATCGGATATCGGCAAAATCCAATATTGTGCATCTTGCATATCGTGTGACTTGAATAAAGAGAAAAAACCTGCATTTTGTGTTCAAAGTTAGACAGATCTTGTGATGTATCATTATAGGAGTGTCTAGCAATATATCGATTATCACAGAATTGCTGTATCGTGATATTATCGGTATTGTGAGCCATGTATCGTGTTTCGTATTGTGAGGTACCCTGTGATTCCCACCCCTAATGTCAAAGAAATGTTCTTTTAAATTTTAACTTAATCAAAGAATCCTTTAAAAATGTCAATATTTCCACAAAAATATTAAGCAGCACATCTGCTTTCAATAGTGATAATAGAAAGAAAACTCAGATTTGCCATCACAGGAATAAATGTGTATATATATATGCATGTGTGTGTGTGTATAAATTATATGTATAGCTGAATATTTACTGCATAAAACACTGCTAAATCAATCAACTTCTAAACGAGATGTTATAACTAGAGCCCGACCGATATGGGTTTTTTGGGGCCGATACCGATATTAGGGAGTAAAAAAAAAGGCAGATACCGATATATCGGCCGATATTCTTTGTGTATATTATAGTACAGTACCAGTCAAAAGTTTGGACACTTTCCCATTCGTGTGTCCAAACATTTGACTGGTACTATATATAGAATACAGTATATACATAAACAGAATTAATATACATAAACACATTTTTTGCAATGATCACTCAAATGTGGTGATCAAACACTTATAATGGTGACAGAGATATGTAAGGGCATTTAACAATTTAACAATAAACTTGCGATGAGTGCGATGCACAAAGTAACGGGGTGTTAGTTGTAACACACGTGGTTTGAATGTTTATTTTACCATAGTAACATTTAAATTCTGGCTTAAGTAAATTTTTTATCTCAGTTTTTATTATTCATTTAAAATGAGACAAATCTGCTATTATTTTAATCTCCAATCTGTTATTTATCAGTTCAGATAGTTTTTTAATGCTTTGATAACTAGCAGAAGACACTAACCAGTTTTAAATTCCAGTTGCGCAGATGGGGCAAGTTGTAACACTGCGTTACAATGTGCTATTCTATGACATTAGCCATGTCATTTACACTATTTAATTAATTTTAATGAGAAACAACGAGAAAC